ATTTAATTCATTTAAAATTAAGCTATGAAGATATTAGCTATCACGTATTCGATTTACCCTACATTTTTGTTGAACAACTCGTCATTTCCGTGCGTATATGAGAACAGTGTTCAATACGAGCCAGGTTTTCAGTTGATGCTTTCGAAGTAAAAAAAAAAACAATGTTAATGTTTGAAAGATCAACATAAATATTTTCACGAAAAAACTAACCATTCTGGAATCGAGTCACATGCTGTAAACATAGTGTTTTCACACAAGAGTATCAAAATTATGAACATAGAAAGATTTTTCAAAAACCATAATAATTAATATATATATTTTTTGGACCATTTATGACCAGTGATGTCTTATCCAAAGGCGGAAAAAGTTATATATTTAGCTTTATTAATATAAAAATTTGAATAAATATAGAATAATCCTAATCAACAATCAGAATGTTTTATTACGCATGATGCAGAAAATTCTCGAACCCACGAGAAATTAATACATATTTCGCTTTGTCGATACCCTTACGGTGGAACGGGCATCAAAACCCGACTAATTCATTGTTGAGTGATACACTGTGCTTAATTGAAGAACACCTCGACGACCATTGAAAAATTGTCTGACAAAAAGGTTTAATTTTCTGCACGCCGATTTTGACACCCCTTTAAGTATATCAGATAAGAGGTCAGTAACATCATGATGAAGAAAAAACTTGAAACATACAAAACTAATATTGTTATAATTTCTTAACTTGTGAAGGGTAGGACAAGTGAAACAGAACCGAAATACCACGCCAGATATCTGACAAGATTATATTTCCCTTGTGAGAAATTGAGATTTGTCTGAAGTACATGATTGAATATCCAACTAGGTCTAGTTATAAAATTCATTGATAGATCACTGAGAAAATTAGGGAATATCCGTGTTAGCGAGAAAGAAAAAAATGATACTTCTTGCTGTTATAACTACCACGTTCAGAAAAGTTAGTTGCTTAACTGTTTTATAACACAATATGACGCATATCTCTTCCGTTTGCGAATAAATTTGATACAGTTCAATATCTTATACGAGTTAGCGATCGATATGCGTGAACAATGACCTCTACATTTGTTCCTTGGTTTGTGCCCGTATTTATGGAAATTTGATCGGGTCTAGTCGCCATCTCCATCTCTCAGATGCTGCTGCTTGTTCATCTAGATCATTTGTCAAATTAACTACTAGGCCTAAAAAGTTACTGGCTTACGCAACAAATGGTCCAAAATCGTGCTGCCCAAGTTGTAACAATATCGAAACCAAATCCTTCAATTTAGCAAGAAAAAGTCCAACTCACAGAGCCTCCTCATCCTACGCTTAGGTATTCCCTTTATGCATATATATTCACGTACTTCAATTAAATTGTAAATAGATCTGTTTGCAGACATATGACCCACAGTACCATGAAAGTCACATAGATAATTTTTACAGCCATTGAATCCAGTCGAAATATTAGCTCCTTTATTCATCTTAATTGTAGAACAGAGGTTACCAGCAGTGTCAAAACGTCGCAAAGGGTATGCCCAACAGTTATTGATATTTGCTTGAAGTACACTGGGAATAAAAGCTTTTATCTGCACTTTGTTAATCTGAATTATAATAATAATCAGAATTTAGTATGATTAACTAATGGACATGTACAATTATTAATTTATACATTAATAAACGAAATTATACTACCTCTGTAAAGGCATGCACTAGAATAATTCATAAACATGTCTGTTAGAGTGAAAAAGTTACACCAATCATTAAAAGCGCCAAACATCACAAACTTCAATAATAAATCGTATTTTCTACGTTTGAGTTTGACTTCGACGAATAATTAAGTACTTGAGTTCAATATATGGCATTTGATTGTTAATATTTTCGAGTGATAGTCTGTCATACTTAAACAGCACTTACATTATCGCCCACCCAAACACAATTATTTCCTTTATTTACTAGGTCTAAATGTAACCATGTTATGGCTAGAAGAATATAACCAGAATAATCCTTAAATGTCTTTGGATATTGTTTACATGTGCTTCGTTCAAATTGACAAAGTGATCAACGATGTGGTCAATTGAAAATAACCTTGGTTATTTGCTTAAAGCTAGGACAGCCTAATCTAAGCATTTTCAAGTGGTAAAACAAATACTTCTTCAACTACCACGATATCAAGTACATAATTATAAAAACCAAATTATAACATTAAGATAATGCCTTTGTCTTAGTACCTTACTTAATAAATTATACTTAAGACTGCCATTTTCATTTTTCCTGTATCGACAAACGTTTTTAGCCACCTCTCGTATTTTGTTCACTAGTTTTCTTATGTATTGCATTAGTCATTCATACGAACCAACTTCGACCGTATATTGAATATTGTTTATCAAATATTTTCAGATTACTTTTCTCAGCACCCCACAAGGTCTGTAAGAAACTGAGAAAATTTAAAAGGGAAATAACTCCTACAGGAAGGTGATGGTTAAACTACCATACGATATATGGACTCACTCCACTAATTCATTTGCCATCTCTTCCCATGTTAAAACACGAAATTCAGCCTTCTATAACTTTTTCCAGAAATCTCGTTGAAAGCTTTCCAATATGTCGAATGAAAGCCTGACCAATTCTCAATGTCTCCTAAAAAATTCATTATATGATGACCATGACAATTTTGAGCTACTAAAATTGAAAGTAGACTACTACCGGCTACACTCATCCGCTAGAGTTTGGCACTTCACAAAACGACTATTTTTAGAATTAGCCTTCCGCCTTTAGGTCTCTCATCACCTCACCAAATCTGAAAGATAATGCAATGCAGGCAAAAACCCCAAAAGGGAGAGAGAAAGAAGATTTCTAAAAATAGCCTGGACTACATTCCTATACAATCATTTGCATAAAATGTTTTAGTGGAGTGAGTTCATATACGGACTCACCACTAATTCATTTGCCATATCTTCCCATTTTCAATCATGAAAATCAACCTTCTAGAACTTTCCCAGAAATCTTGTTGAAAACTTTCCAATATGCACACAAAAGGACTATTTTTAGAATTATCCTTCCGCATGTAAATCTTTCATCATCTCAAAATATAGAAGAAAATTCAATGTGAGACATCAAATTCCAAATATAGACAAATAATTGGTCAAAATTAGGCTTGCAAAAATCCCAGACAGGGAGAAAGATGGTTTCTAAAAATAGAGTCTAACCAAAAAATATTATAAATTTTACATAAGAACAGACTTAATATCGAATTGCCTCCATAGTTAAAGATATCTCCATGTTTGTCAAATAGATACAAAAAGTCCTTTTGTACTCATTATATTTCAAGTAACCGTACTAAGATACGATACCCGATCAAGGAACGTGAAAACTCGTAAAAGAAGCACCTTAACTATCCGTTCGACTAATCATACCTTAGTTTCCGAAACAGGTTTTTTTTAGCTTACATAATCAGTACTTGTGTTCACAGCTCATCGTTGAAATTTGAGCCTTCAAATCCATGTGTATCCATAATTATTCAAAGTTAAAAATTCGACTAGAATTTTAGTGAGACTATGTCATAGGAATAGACAGTGAAATATAGGAATAGACAGTGAAATATAGGAATAGACAGTGGAATTTCTAGTTTGAGGTATATTTGAAGGGATTACGCGATTTTCGTGCGTTTTAGTACTTCTTAAGACTATTAAAGCACAATAAAGACCAAAATCAATGCCCGAAAAGGCTGACTGATCCTCTTCAAATTACTTATTGTGAGATGAGAAATTGTCAAAACAATATGTAGGAGAAACGGAAAATAAATTTCACAGATCGGATATCAAATAAAAGAAAGACTATATTGACAGTATATGAAAACTCTTCTTGACATAACTTAGTGAAATGGTTTATCACCCAATAATCAGAACTATTGAAAAATAAAAAATATATATAAGAAATATGAGTAATTGCACTCTTTCTTACCAACGTGTTCATTTAGTTTTCAAACACACAAGAAGATAAACATTTTTCTAACAGGACGCTGTCATTTGTCAAAAGATTTAGGGGCGAAATCATTCGTCGACTATTGTAGATATATATTTTTGTATTCGATTCGAACTGTTTACTGTATATAATAATAAAAAAAACATTGTGTAATGGCGTGTAATACGCCAGTGATTCGAGACTGTATTAAATCAGTGTAAATATGACATTATACGTTATTCCAATGAAAATATTTCTTCATGAAGTTTTGTGATTACTTTAGCGTTAAAAAAATTATTTCCAAAATAAAGAGATATCAAGAAAGATTGATATACATTTACATGTAAGATTGAAAGTTTTGTGACATTAGATGTAAAACAAAGACCTTGAAAATATGCCCTAATATATTATTCAAAGGACGCTGTCATTTGTCAAAATTCGAGGTTGCAAAATCTGTAACACCGACAATACAGTGCATGCCTGGTCACCTACCCCCTCCGAGCAAATGCTCAACATAATGGTACTAGTACTTATACGAGCACTTGTAGAGTAATAGACTTAAAACGTGAGGTGCTTGTAGTGTAGAAATCCACATCATTAAACTCTTAAATATGGACAATGTGCATCTGGTAAATATCATAAAGGGTCAAAACGTGAGTACTCATCACGAGACATAGTTATTTATTATCTCAGTTCATACTACGAAGGTTGTTACCATAGACCGCGAAGCACGGGATGTCAATGGCCTCGTTTCTATTCATGTTTATAAGAAAGAACAAATTAATGAAAGGATTTGACAAAATATAATCCGGTATTGATGTACAGAGATTGCTTCGCATGAATGATTTTTTCTGTGCAAAATGAATGCAAAAAGAAATCATGTGTTAACGAAATAATCAGTTATAATTCAAATGTGTAAGATACAATAAAGAGACCTTGAAAGTTAAAGCTCTTGAATAAGCTGTGCATGTAATGAGATCTAAATATGCATATCCCTGCACTTGCATTTCTCACCCGTTTAAAAAGCTGAAGACATGGCCCCATCGACGTATGAACTTGGAGGAAAGGAAACTAATTCGGACGCCAAGGTAAGCAAATATACGTTTAATCTGAAGAAATATAATTACGCAAATCAATAAGAATTTACAAAATTTAATATAGACTTTTCAAGAATCTTAAAATAACATTGCAAAAAAAAGGGTTCAACCCGTGAGAGCTAAATTCAAAACGCTGAAGGAAAAAAATGGATTAGTTTTCACTACTTCCGCTTTTTAGTCCCACTGCATAAAGCACTTGACCTTGCTAAAATTTGACTGTTCACTACATTATTTTTACATTACTTGATGTATTTCTCAAACGATAAAAATAGCTCCTGCGTCCACTATTACTGCCGAGCTTAAATTAGCATCTTTCTTGTGCGCTAGCACTGCATGGATAGGAAACATAGAGAAACACACATTGCCTCAACTTAGCCTTGAGACCTACTTTATTTAATTCAGGTTGTGTTTCCAACAACATCCGCCGAAGACCAATTAAGAGAGATCCACAACACCAAGAAGTATAAGTATTTTGCTGGGGTTGTTTTACTTTCTGCTATACTCATATCAGCTGTTATTGTTGGGTCTGTTGCCTTACATCATCATCTTACCTCTAAACAAACGGTTAGTGCTTGATTGTGTGCCATTCATCCATGATTTACGAGTACCTTTGTTGTTGCATTCAGGATGTGTTATTTTTTGTTTTTTTTTGCAAATAATTCAGTGCCTTGTGATTGCTTTTGTTATCGATGAATGTTGATAAAGTAGAACAAATACATTTGTGCACATTCTGGTCCAACTCAATTTAAACTTAAAATAAGCAACGCAATCAGAATTGTATTGTGTCAATCCTGTTTAACGACTCGTGTTTATTTAGAATCGGAAACGTGAACAAATAAATTTGCTTTTCTGTACTGTGCATTAATCCTGTGCTCCAATTAGAATTCCATGATACGTATTAACCTAAAAACAATATGTTTGAAAATTCTGTTGGTATACTGGAAATATCAATTACACATTAAAGAGGTTTTCTAAAATGTATGAGCATCAAGGACACTGGATAGCATCAAGTCGCATTCTTCGAATTTTCAATCAGACGTCTGTGATTCCTTCAATTTCACTAAAACTAGAAAAAAAAAGTTTAGAAAAGCTCTTTACAATGTCTTTAGGATACGGATACAAGAGGGAGCGACATAGGTGCACCTAGGTTTGGTTTACCATATCTATTTATTTATTCACATCTTTCTCCTAACTTACAACTTAATTATCTATTTATAGGACTTTGACACAAAAATCGTTTATAAAGGATATCCTATACCAGAGCATGTCCATGTAGATTTCACCAGTAAAATAACGTACGTGAACAATTCGCGATACAACGAAGTTGTGGCTGCAAACAATCTACTTGACTATAAGAGGGTAAGCGGGAAAATTTTGTCAATATCAATCACCGAAAAGGTTCGACATAAAATCATTGTGGAAGAAGATTATTATAAATTGTGAAGAAAGGTGTGATTTGGACACGACAGAAAGATTGCTTCCTAACCCTTTTAAGGGAGCCCATATCAACCACGCGATTCTAGAATTTGAGAGCAATCCAGTTCTTCGCAGGTACCAATACCTTGTTCCTCTGATTACAACGGACACGATGAGATGCTCGGAATCGTCGATCGACGTGTTCAAAGTCAAATTTTTTATCATTGTGTCATTCAATGCATATTTAGAGCGTCATAGTTCAGTATTTGTGAGTTTGTGATAATTATTATTTGTAGCAATTACTGGTATGTAAGGATGTAAAAAACAAAGTGTGTTATGTAGATAAACTAAACGGCACATTTGAAGATGGAGTATCCAAGCTATCTAAAAAGGTAATTCCGTCTTCTGTGTCCACACAGCAGCTTTGAAGAAGTAGGACATGCAACTTTCATTTTAGTAATGAAAATAGTACATCAAGAATGACTAAATACTGAAGATTGTATGAACGATGGATGGTATAGTTTATTCCGTTGAACTTCACAAGGAGAATATGAACATGAATACCATAAATATCAAATACTTCGTTCATGACGATTTGATTAACACCACAATGTTTTGGGAATGGAATTCATACTGATAAAGGGAAATAACTACCAATAGGAATATTAGGCCTACGTATTATATGAAATTGACTATGCTTTTCTTTTTCGGATGTCCAATCAAGTCTCTCCCTTTAGTGATGAAAAATTTATATATAACTGAGTCCTCTTGAACAGGTAATAAGTAGGCATATACCATACCACTGATCCATTGCTCGTCTTCATTGGACTAATCATAAACATAGAAATAGTGTTCTCCATAGAATCTCATATAATTTTCATTTAATCAATTCTAGAAAGATTCAACTCCTGTCAAACACGTGATTACAGTTAAACTACCAGTTGATAAAAGAATTCTACAAAAATTCGCTGGAGATTCCATTGCTGATCATTGTAAAGGAACACCTTCGTTTTGGGTTCTTGATATGATCCCAACAAATTCTGGTTAGCAAATAATATATTTATTAAATTCTCATATTTTTGTGTTGATACATGTAAAGATTAGCACATATATCATTTCTTGTGGTTTTTTTTTTGATATTTTCTTCGGACGGAGAGTTTTATATACACCGAGCTCATTGGTGAGGTATTCCAAAGATGGGCTGTTGCTATATTTAACATTGTAATGTACAAGTCTAGTTAACAATTCATATGGTATAGATCTTTTATTGTATGTTTTCAATTTTATTCCAGATGGAATGAAGAATAGCACACAGACAGTAACTATAAACTGTCATGAGGATATACTAATCGTTTACAGAGATCATCAGACTGCAGAGTAATATTCAATTTCAAATCCCTTATAGTGTTAAAACCTACAACCTTACAATGCGAAATGATTTCAAAATCTAGTTTCTAATAAATATTTACTGTTTGGTGGTTTATTTTTCTCAAACGCCCATACCCATTGATCAACTGATATATTTTATATATTAAATTTGTGTCGAAGTATGTATCTTTCTTGCTATTTATGTGCAGACATGGAACTTATATTTATCTCATTTGTCACATATATTTTACATATGTCATGTATGTATGTGACTTTTACCTAGTGCGTAATTTTTCCCGTAATAAATTGGAGCTTTTCTGTGTGAAGACGATGAATTTTGCAGACGACAGCTAACAACATGACAACAAGCGATACATCCGAGGCAGCCATCACATAAAAAAAATCTCAATTTTTTTCCCAAAGAGGTAGAGACTTCAGCTTTGCCATTAGGTAAACTGAATCTGCCTTTAATCAATGGCAAATTATCACACATTGTCAACAATGAGAGAAAAAAAAGTAGGTAATTGCCGACAAGTAAGTTGGCTTTAGTTAGATCTGGTCATTGTAACCATGTAGGGGGTGGGGTAGTTATTTTCTGTAAGTGGAAATGGTTAGGACTTTTTAGGTCACTGCTACAAAAATTGCAATGTACTTGATCACATCAACATAGTATGTCCATTTAATACACATTTACTTGTGTATTTATTAAACATCGATCGAAGTATTGCATATATTTCTTTTTCATTCATTCATTATATTGTCTCCATGGCCGGAATGCTAGACAGGACCTTGTCCTTGTATATTGGGCCTAATTCTGACCAAATAAAGAGATTATTTATTCATTTAATTATTTATTCTGTTATTATTATTCAGGGTGTACAGTAAAACGGCTTTATTATACATTTACGCTTGTAACGGATATTTACGGACAGTTTAGACCATGTTTAGGTTACGGGCGGATTTACGGACACACATAACTTAAGTTGGTTTTGTGAAACGGTTGAAGCTGCTATTACATATGTACGCAAACTCAAGCTCATACTCAATAAAAATCGGACCAGAGCAAATCCTATCCAAATCAAATCCAATTTTCTGCTTACATGTGTCCTCAAACTCAACACCTTCGTAAGCGCAACGGATGGCTCGACGACTACGGGCAGTTTTATCCCCTATATGATATCATTACTGTAGGGGACTTTCCTCCCCTCTTTTGTTTAAAGACCCAATACCACTTGGTTTACAAAGACAGTTTTGCAGAATCATCGTACGTACATGTTATCACGTTTTGAGTTTGAGTTATGCTTTCATACAATCATTAGTAACAGTTTATGTATGGACGACCACTGGTAATTTACGAAGGGATTTTGAAAGGATATCCTGAAGTCGATTGACCTCCGAAAATGGTGAACCATGGCCTTTCATAAGATTGTAGCATTTGCATCCACTCTAAATATTCTAATAATGAATTTCTAGATGCTGTTTTGATTTTTAATCTCTATAGACACTACAGGTTTATTATATTCGTTTTCTTAAAAACGAAATCGTACTCCAACATGGACTTGCCACCCAGCATTTCCAAAATTGACACTTACGCCCGCACTGAACTGGCGTTTAATTCGGCATAGCTCTCCTGATTGACAAACTGCATCATCTACAAATTAAATTATAGTACATTAATGTCACATATTATGAGAATAGATGAATTTTGCCATAATGTTAAATATTTGTAAACCAAATAAGTTTTAAAAGATTTTTCTCTTCTCGAATACGTAGGCCTAGTCTTCTGTATAATGCATATTTATTATATAGTGGATAGTTTAATCCTTTAATGTTTTTGTCCCTTTGAATTGTATACAGAAATAGATACCAGTATTAATATCAATATACAATTCAGTTTACCTTCAACAAGCCAATAAGTTGGATCACCTTCACAATGGTCTGCGATATTTTCACCAATAAACTTTCTTAAAACGTCTGGTTCAACAGAATAATTACTTTGTTTGCGATGTACAACAGACGTTTTTGTTGTCGAGTCCTTAAAAAAGGAAAAAATTCGACATATTAAGTTTTATTGCAATGCGTTCGATAATCGAAATTTAAAAATTGCGATTTTAAAAAAAAGGCTTTGTCATGTGTCTTAATTTGCATACGTCTAAAATTGCTTGATCTTCCCTTTGATAAATAACAAATATTATGATCGAAATTGTGCTTTTGTTAAGTTGAACATCTTGAATATTTGTTCTATTGTACTTTAACTTTTTTGATTATATATTCCCGAAAAAGGCAACAGTTTTAAGCGGAAAAGCATGGGAATTCTAGTTCACTTTTATATTGTCTTCAAAACAGAGTGAGACTCCGTGTTTATTACATTGATTCGGAAATGAAATGTATTTGTATCTGAATCATCAATTATTAAAACATCCACAGCGTCCAACTTTTAAACCAGCGTCCAACTTTTAAACCAGTGTTGGTTTATCATGATTATGAGGTCTACTTACTATTTCAGCTAGTCGAGAAACATAATCATCAAAACTATAGGTGGTTTTATCTAAAAAGCACATTTTATGCGTTTCATCTCTATAGGCAATTATTTTCTGAAATATTACATAAAAACTATTAATGGGGCATTAGGTTTTATTTGTATGTCAAAAATTATTTTTTGCTCAAAATTGTGAAAACTATACACCAAAAATAGAAAGGTGTCCCTTAACGCATCTGAAATTTTAACTAAAAAAATCCAATCCGTAATTTTTTAACACCAAAACTATTTAAAATACAAGTTTGCTTAAACTATTTAAGTTTCTTATGCTTTTTGGAAAATTAATGTACGGATTTAAGTAAAATAAACGCCCATTTGTAAATAGAAATTTCCTTTCTATTCTCAAGGTTTAAACTAATTATATCGAGCTATTATAATCACAAACTCTAACTAGCTAAAAATGCTTAATTAACAGTTAGTACATCCCGCGTTTAATTTGTCCCTTTAAAACAAAGTACTTTTTCATCACTCTCTACAGTCATTTGAATTATTCTATCTTCTTGCATACTCACCTTTTGAAAATCGTGAAGGATATTACTGGCTACAATGTGCCCCTGCTGTGTACTATTTATGATTATCAATTTTCTATCATAATCAATCTTTACATGTTCTGGTACTTTCAAGTCGCCGCCATACCTTGGCTCGATATTAAATCCCTGAAAGAAAATTTTCAATATAGATCAGATGTGGATATTTGACTAAACATGGCACTACCAGACGCCATTTATATTGAAAAAAATTCTTCAGATTAAACTTTAGTGTCTCCAACAGAGTTGCCTCTCTATAATTTTTTCATTGGCTATCTGAGAAAGATGCTTGTGCATAATCGGGGATACTCAAGATAAAGATATGAGCAGTCTATTTTGGATCAAGTACTTGCTTATTTAACTCAGATTTGATTCTTGATAAACTCATTTATAGGTATCTTTTTGGTAAATGAGAATTATTTTTGGGTGAAATCAGTGTTTTTTATTCAAAATCTGTCGAATCAAATAACTCTTAATTTGAATTCAGATTTTTATCAATTTATTGAAAGTTTTAAGTATTTCAATTTTTAGTTAAGATTTAATGAGAAAAATGAAGAGTAAATATTGTTATTTTGAGGTGAAAAATGGATATTTTGGGAAATTGTGATTCTTATTTTCATTTTGTTTTCTCAGCTGGTTCCTGTGTTATATATATTTACTAGACTCTTCAAGGAAATTTGATCATTGACTCCACGTGTTAATCTTTTTTGGGGGGTGAAAAACACCTTTTTTGATCAAAAACAGGGAAATTGTACGTAATAGTGATGGATAGTTTTTAACTTCTCGAGTAACAGAAAAACCTATTCACTGAGCAGGACTAAGTGTAAATTTAGCAGGCAAAACAAATATTTTGGGTGAAAAACACGTTCCGGTTAAAAAACAAGACTAAATCATGGCAGTGGAAAGCTGAATTTGATTGAAATGTTGTAGTTCAGACGCCGACGCTATCAAGTCATATAAGAGATATCCTAAAGTTTGAAATAGCTTCTGACGTCACAAATTAGCAATAACAAACACTCAAACAGTCAAATCTTTACTGAATCATCTGTCAAAATGGTTATGATTTAGATCTATTTCGGTGACAATTGAATATTGCCGATTCGTTTAAAATAAAGTACAACACACAGAGATGTTACAAATATTCTATAATTGAAATCGGAAGTAGATCAATCTATTTGATAATGGAATTTCTCCAGAATTGGCAGCGTAGCCTACATTTCGCAATACTATTTCAGCAAAAATTGAAATCTTATGATTTATTGCCGATCCGGTTTCTCAGTATCATAAGCCGAATTAGTATACAATTCTTTCTTTTTCTGCATCAAAATAACTCATATTATGACGGCCACGTGAATCAAGAATGAAATTGACTTCACGTGAAATTGAAGATTTTTACTTATCTAAAAGCAAGTAAAATTAAAAACTATTATAGATATAAATAAATTGCACGCTTACCGTTTGTTTTGATTTAAGATGGTGATGTAAGGCGATTGAACCCAAAACCACAGCTGCTATGATGACAACAGAAATAACAACAACGCCAGCAAAATACTTGTATTTCTTGTTGTTGTTGGTCTTGTGTGGTTGATCTGTGGTCGACGCTGTTGGAAAAGCAACCTTATTTTTAAAAAAAATATATTATGTTACTAAGTTCAAAAGAAATTGACAATGCACAATTTAAGGTAGTTAAAGATGGTCTCGTTTTGAAACATTAAAACGCCAATTAATTATTTGCAAGACTACGACTATTACGAATTCAAGTTTGTTTCTCACTAAAATGAATTCGAGTACATATCAATCTTCTTTGTGAAAAGGCTAATTGCTTACATTGATGTCTTGTCCAGTTCCCTTTCCTCCGACTTCTACTGTTGGTGGTGTCATATCTTCAGCTTACAACCCGGATTAAAAAGCAGATGAGTCCTGTTTGACTTTGACTATTTTAATCTCAACACTTATATAGCTTCCACCAATTCTTGTCCAACCTATCATATTCAGGGATTTTCTACTTCCTTGTCCTTGAATTCACCTTAAAATTCATGACCAGAGTGAAGACGACAAAAAGATTTTTTATTTCTTTCTTGCTATGATACATTGCATTACTTTAAATAAAACTCTGTATTGATGTTTCAAATGAACAGGATCTAGAAATATCGCTTAAAACAAATATGACCTAGATAATATAATGTATATTGTATTTCTACACAAAAAGTATTTGAACCCCCACACGAAATGTGGTCTATCACTCCAGAAGACACAATTCTTGAAGGATTTGAGTAAATTGTTAATTATCTCCCAAGGATGAACCCTATCAAAAAATATGAAAATTTAATATGAGTTAATGCCCCTGATCTCCAAGAAGGAATATCTTACGGATTTTGTCTAACCTTGATGAAATTGTTCATTATCACCTATTTGATTAACCCTATCGAACAAACATAGAAAAATATTTAATATAAGTTACTGCCCCCGTTCTTAATTTGCTGTCTTACTTTCTACATTCGAAAGCGACAATTTTAAAACATGAACGACATTAAACTAAGAATAATTTACGAACTCGCTTTAATGCTCATAGGTCAGACATCAAATTAAAGAAAGACAAGCCTGTTTGTAATCATTTCAACCTCGACGACCATCCAATAGACGATCTCACCCTAATCCCAATTGAGCGTATAGAAATTGACTTGCCCGAAGATGAAACTACCAAATTCCGTCAATCTAGGGAGGCCCATTGGATTGAGACATTGAATACAGCAAGACCTATAGGACTAAATATTCATCATAATGTAGGCATAGCACCCTTTGTTGTCCCGTTTAATACAACCAGCAATCGAGCAAGCAAGATAGTTCATGCCCACTATAAGAGCCTTCAAGAGAAATTCCCCCATGTCTATAAGCAGAAAATGATAGTTGCATATTCAAAAAATAAGAACTTAAATGATAATATTGTTCATAGTAAACTAAAAACAATCAGAACATAACAGATACTATACTTCTCGCCCATCGGGCGAGTTATTTTTTCTAATTTCAGATCAGAATAAGAACAGAAGAAAACCCAATATCAAGACCCTTAATCCTAATTTCTAAATAAAGTGTCTGCTCCACCCTAGGCCTGTACATTTGGGAGAATCAAACCCTCCCTTCCCCGAAATCTAAATAAGTGTTTGTCTATTATATTTTATTGTATTTCATACATACACTTCTGTTGTTGCGATTATCACGGAAAGTTATCCTTATAATCAGATCTACATATATCAATCTTTTGCCATTCTATAAACGCCAATGAGAGAAAGGTAATATGTTTAAGAATATGCAGATGGATGTTAAGTTGTCTAACATTAATATGTACTAAGAAGTGGTGTTTATGCACTTCTTTAAGGGGATTATGAACTAAGTTTACATTTCTTTTCTACTACTTTTTAAATATGTTTATTGTTTGTGGGTAAACATTTAAATTTAAATTGTACCGCTTTCAGACATTCAACGGCGGTGTGTAAATACGAGTTTGTAAATTTTGGGTTTTTCCGTGGTCACGGACATCAATGTGTTCACTCAGTAGAATCACTCTCATTTTGGGCTTCCGGATTTGTCGTCTGTGCATGTCATTCTGTTCTGCAAATTATTTGTACAGCCAATATACAGAGGGAATTTGTTTTAAAGCAACCTTTTAACGGGGCAACACCAGTGATTCTGGAAAATAGAACATTCCTTTTTCTGATGGATCCTCTTTGGATGCCAATCCACCTTTTTGTTGTTGTGTTTATGGTCAGTGTTACATATTTTTGAGACTTGTCAGTTGGGAATACAAATTGAATTGGGTTTCAGTTTATAATGGAAATCTTTACCACGTGTTACAATATGAATCGATAAATAATACCAAACAGTGTGTCTTAATAATAATGGGGAATCTGCATCTTCATAAATCTGCTTTTGGAATAATTTCTTTGTGCTTAGTGGGCTTTGATAATCTTTGTGTAACCCTTTGCTTCAACAAACCACTCCAGTAGAGTGTTAACACTGTTTGTCTTTGACAAATTCAATGTCTCTTAATATTTGCAGCGCAGAGTTCCTGAGATACATCGTTAAGCTTCAGAATACAACTATCTCAGCAACACTAAAATGTCTCTTGCAGAAGCTGTGGCTAAATCAATACTCCAGCCAGTAGTCAGAATCTCGTACATGTGTTTTCCTTTCGGGCTAGCACTTGACAAAAGAAGACTGTTCTTTAAGCAAAACTCGACGGATTTTGTACGATCTAAAAATAAACAGTGAACTCATGAAAATCGATGTACAATATTGAATCATTAGTCACAATATTCTGTCGAAAAAAGAAATCCAAAACTTGGGCCATATATACTGACAATCCCCCTATAACTTATTCAAATGTGTTCATGCTCGTGTGTTTTACTGTATTGTAAATTATGTAATTAGTTGTAAGTACCTATATATTATACAATACAGTATGAACTAGAATTATTTACTTTAATGACGATTGTATCAGGATTTTATCGTTTTTTTATGAACTGCAGTTTCAATGCTAAAAAGTATTTTGTCAAGATAATGCTATCTTTCAATTCTACCAATTTAATCAAATTTAAAAATTCCACAGACTTTCAACAATGACAGGGTTGAAAAAAACCAAATGTATCCCAAGAAAAGTAATAGTAATAACATGTACAATTTTATTTAAGCCATAGTTGTATTTGAATTGGTAGGGAATCCACAATAACACTGTTTATCAATACAGTGCATGCCTTCAGTACATTGACAGTTGTGTTTTTCGGCTTCTTTTTCACAATCTTTCTTCTCTCCGCATTCATCTGAAAGTAAAGGAAACGTTAATAGAAATCATCATTATCATGCAGAGTCTTGCTGCTCATTTCACCCAATATCACTCTCCAATTCGGAAATTTTTTTTTCAAGCGGTAATTTAAAAATCGCTTACGGTTTCATCATTCGCACTCTCCATGTTGACGTACGCTAAGTTAAAGGAAAAAAAATTTCACAAGTATATGCGACCCCACGATTGGTCAGACACAAGCGTGTGCAATTTTAATAAAGTTACTGCCAGTGGTTCAACGTCTACGGGGCCCCACCCCCAGAAACAAGTAGTTGCCTAGCAAGATACGCCCACTTTCCTGGTATATACAAGGGCGGTCCCCAATCTGTGTCAAATTATAATAAAAATCTTATTGGTACATACAAAATTAAAAACATTCTAACATAAACTCACCAGCCAACAAATTTTGATTCCTTTTTTCTATTCAAGGGTAATAACTCAAATTCTGTTTGTCAAATTCGAACTTGTCAAAGATCTCAAGGACGGACAGGGGCGACGACAATATACGACCACATTATAAAATGCAAAATTAAAAAGCAATGTACCATACTATACAATTATAACCAAACTAAGCAACTAGCAGTATTTTCAAAATCTTTTAATCTTCCATTAACGGGCATTGTATTGAGAAAAATGATGAAAAGAATATGGGAAAAAAAGCAATCCCGGGGTAAGGGGCCCAACCTTACTCATCTAGTTGAGCCACTTGTTACTGTATATGTAATTAATAAACTTACGATCGCTTCCACAGTGTGAAACGCAGGTACATACATCATGGGAACATCTCACTTCAAATCCATTAGTACATGATGTTATACTGCAATCATTGTCCTGTTTACATCTCTCGCACAACACAACGGCTGAAATATATATATATATATCTGATTCTTGTACATTCCTTCCTCAAAATCATCCTTCCCGGATCGATCTGATGTCAAATATTTTCGAATTTGAGACAATATATGGTCTACAATATTCTGAAGAATGTATAAAATATAAAATTTTAAGATAACCGTGTAAAAAAAAAATAGTTAGCTAAAGCTAATAACGCAATCACAGAGCAACAGAGCAAAAAAATGTCATAAAATTCAATACAATATTTTCTTCCTAATTTTGCTCTGGCATTAGAGCATTCTCCTCAAATATTCCCAAGAAGTTTCGTAATATGTCGGCTCATAAAACTATCTTCAATAGCCAACTATAACCATCTTCTTCATATCCCAGTGATTTGAACAAAAGAGTTTTTCTTACCAACAAGAAGAGCTAATATGATGACGACTTTCATTTTGTTAGAGATAAGATTGTTCTGGTTTCCAAAAACTGGACGACCGTATTTTTATATCTTTGATGGCCACAAGGTCATAAAATCAAAACCAGCTGGAATCTCTCAAGAAAGATAATTCATAAATTTGATTAAGACTGACATTTTCGCTTATACCTGTCCTTTCCTTATGTTTAATCTAAGCTTATCTTCAATTTACCGGGGATACTTAAAACCGATAGTTCTGATCAAAGGTATGGTTGCCGGTCAATAAGCCAGGGAATAGTTATCATTGTGAAAAATGATGTAAAAAATAGCCATCGTAATACGCCCACAATTGGAATGGCAGCTAAGTCGTCCGGGAGGTTGACAAGAGTTTATCAATAAATTAAATAATTCGAAAACAATATTTTCATACTGCAAGGGCTTTATCCACAGCCTTTTTCTCTGAGGTGTTTAGAAGCTAAAGATTGAACACGTTTTTTAAAAAACAATAATAGCTATCTTTAGATTTTTTATTTTTAAATATGGTTCGTTAAAATCTGTTGAGAATTGTGCCTTGAACGAGATATCAAGGTAAAGGGCAATAACTCACATTAAATACTTTTTAGATTTTTTTTTTAGAAATATTAAAAAATTGCACCAAGTTTTGTCAAAATCCGTCAGGAATTGTGCCTTCTAGACATGTCACAAGCTAACATTTGAAAGCGTTTTTAAGAACAAGGGCAATTACTCAATATATTTTTTATTTGTCTGATTTTGAATAGGATTCATCATTTAGTGACAACAAACATTCACATCAAATTTTATCAAAA